TAGGTGTTAAGGTTGCTGCAAAATATCCTTATCAGTAACTTGCACATGGGGTAACACTTTCTAAATAATTAGTCATGCATGAACATTTAGACAAGTGGATGGCAGATGTGGGAGCCGAGGGAGACTCTGTTTGAAAGGGAGGTTACAGGTAAGTAAGGTAACGAGGGTAGAATGATCCATGGAGTGATTGATAAGAGCTGGCAATGTCAGGGTATACTTATGTAGCTTAACATAGATGGAAACATGAAGAAATACTTACAGATATACCTGAGTTAATGTATTCATTTGCTTGTTCTGTCAGCCTAGAAGTATTAGCATCTCAGTTGCAAGGAGCACACTAGCACCCAGATCTGGGTTTCTGATGCCCTTCTCCAATAAAGAAATCAATGTTCCTTAAAGAAATGACTCCTTCTAGGAATGGGGCAGTAGATAAGCAACATGACCTTGGAGTGTCTTGTGTATTTCAAGAATTAAGAACAGAGAAAACTAACAAACGCAGCTTTCAAAAGCTGAAGGACTGCCAAAGAAAAAGGATCTGTGAAGGAACTTCTAGTGGCCAAAAACTAACAGTTTGAAGAACAAAATAAGATATTAGATTATAAATCAATGTATTATAAAACTCCATGACTCCATGTTGATGTCAATTTATGATTAAATATATTTTAAAATGAGAAAGAAAAGATAAATGTAGTGTACAAATTTCCTAATAAATTAAGTGGACACTCCATCCTCACAAAGGCAGATCATAAATCTCTACTCCTTCGATGTGAACTGCATCTAGTGACTTCTATAGGGTAAAGTGTGAGAAGCTGGAAAAAAGATAACTGCGATGGAGAAACTTAGAAATATTACCTCAGTATTGTGATCTACATTAATAGAACCTTGATGTTATACAGATCACAGGTACTCTTGATGTGATGTAATGGGAATAATAACTTGCCTCTGTGATTTCCCCCCCAAAAAACTCACTATCCTAGTATAATCATTACCAAAAAAATTAATTCCAGTTATGGGACAGTCTGTAAAATATGTGATCAATATGTCTGTAAACTGTCAAGGTCATTCATTTAAGGAGAGTCTGAAGACTGTCATAGCTGAGAAGAGCATAAAGAAAGATGATGACCACAAATAATGTGGTGTCCTGGCTGGGGCTCTGAGACAGAACACGGAGGAAACTAAGGGCATCTGAATAAGGGCTTCAGTTACTAAGTCAGTAGTGGTCATTATGATAGATACACTATAATAATGTAATATGTACCTAATATAGCACTCTGGGTATGAGATATGTGGGAACTTAATAGTCTTCTCTTTTTAATCAGTATATCACATCAATTCAAAAGGTAATTTAAAATATTCAAACAGACAAGAATTAGTCTGTAATGAGAACTGTTACTAGTCTAAAGGATTAGGTTCTTACAAGTTATACCGGTACCAAAAATCAGATCCTATATGGAAGTTATACTACAGAAAAATCCAGTACTAAAACTTGGGAGTCATGTAAATCATTTTGTCTCTCTACAAATTTGTATCTTTGACAGTTTTTGTATTATTCAAGAACAGGAATCAGTCTATAATTTGACATCATCCAAAACCATTTTATAGGCAGACGTGCTCTGTTATTCTTGTTTGATGTCAGATTTAATAGAAGTTTGAGTGGGCAGAGAATGAGCAAGAGGTATCAGTGAGGGAGAGAGGTAGGATAAACTGAACGTGTCCCCAGTACTGAAAGATCTATGCACAGTTGATTGGCTTTGCTGTGGTGGGGTCCTGCGTGGGAGCGGCCGTACCCCCACTTTGATCACCTTTTCTCAAGCAATGTGGACATGCTCTTGTCACAAAGGAAGTTATTCCTGAACTATTCTAAGATCAAAAGTAATCTTCTCCCATTTTGAACCATTATTTTAAAGAATATTTTAGGCCCTGAGAAAACCAACTTTGGAAAACAGTGGCATTTGTTAAGCGATTTTTGAAAGCTAAACAATTCAGGTTTCACTTTGATGGACACGAGTAATTCACTAAATATTCCACTTTGAGCTGGTTGTATCTGTATTTGCAGTTATTCGATAGCTTAACTTTGAAATGGTTGATTATTTTGTGAAAGAATAGATTGTTTTAAAATAAAGCACAATTCACAAACTAAGATTATCCTTACATGTACATCGAAGATGGACCAAAATGGTTTAGAATGGTACATGATGATGTATGTATTTGCCATTCAGTTATTCATCCATCCGTCCATTCAGAATGGTTTAGTAAATTATTATGTGCCAAGTAATAGTCTTTCCCTGGAAATATAGCAGTGAACCAAACCAAATAAATACTTGCCTTCATGGAGCATATGTGTTAAATGTGATTCATGAATAGAAAGGTTGTAATACCAGAAGTCTTGTCAAGGAAAACTGGCATTTGTCTCTGAAAAATATATCCTGTTCAAGGGATGTTTGCACCATAATGAAGTGAAAAAGAATGTGGAGGAATTTTAATCTTTAGTAAAAGAATTAATCTTTATATAATGCATAATATATATATATGGAGAGTAAGTTAATTTGTGATTAAATTTATGACAAAATATTTACTACTAGACAAAACACATTAAAAGAATCGATTGCCTTCCTTAATCCTTTGTTACTGTTTCTATTTAAGGAAACTCGCTGTTTTGCTGCAGATGCTACCTTGAAGTAGGCAGCTCATAGCTCACTCTTCCACATTGCTGTGTCTCAGGGTGCAGCATCCTCAGAGCTGAACACGGCATGACTCCTCCCTGAGGGGGAATCTGTGATGCCCAAATCTGACTGTGAGAGCTGCCTTTCAGTTACAATTTCCAAGAAAGTAAACTGCAATATCAGTATCACTCTTAGGCAGTCATTTCTTTTCATGTTCAGATAATTTTATAGAACTGTCCATGGTTAAGGCAGCAAGACAAGAGCAAAGCATCATTCACCCAAATGTCAACAGGTTCTGAAATGAAAAGAATGAACATATGCATTAAAATGCAAAAACGCTGTCACCCTTTTATAAGTATATAAAACACCAGTTAACTCATTTTGTCTCTTACAAATTATATTTATTTCTGTGTATCTTATTTTCCCTGAAAGACAAATGTACCCTGAGTTTCATTAAGTTTTTGTCATTGATCAAAACTAACAAATTTTAAACATTATGAATATCTACTCTTGAATTTTTACATCTGTTCATTTTGTAAGCATGTGTTGACTGTTGCACTATACCAGAGACAATTGTAGATACTAAAGATACCACAGAATGAAACAAATGATATCCCTACCATTGTACAGTCTATGTTATAGTTGGAAGGGTTAAAAAGAAAGTAAAGGTAAGATATATAAGGGTATTTCAAAATGTTCATATAAAGTGAAATTAAAAGATTGGTTTAGTTTGATTTAGAATATTTTTGAAAACCATGCATATGAGAGATATTCAGAAAGTTCATAGAAATGTGTATTATGTAAATGTATGTATTTTTCAAAATTTCAAGATTTTTTGAATGCAAATAAACAAATTTTTAAAAATCAGTTTTATTGAAGAGAGAGAGATCCCCTTGCTCCTTTCACGCACAGTAGCCAGTGCTGAGTCAGACCAAAGCCTGAATACCTCAATCCAGGTCTCCCATGTAAATGGCAGGAGCTTAGTTACTTTACCCATCACCATTGCCTATCAGGGTCTGCATTAGAGGGAGCTGGAATCAGGAGGCAGGGCCAGGACTTGAACCCGGCCACTGGGCTGTGCAATGTGGCTGTCCCAGTTGATGTCTGAGCAGAGGAAACATGAGTTGATTTTGCTGCTGTTTAAAAATCATCAGCTTACCTCCTTCACTTTCACACTGCTGTTGGGTTTCAGAGGACACCAGTACGCATTGCTCTTGCGGTCTATTGCTCAAAGTGGAGCCTCTGCTTTGGTTGCCTTTTCTAGGGGTGTTAGAAAGGTTAAACATGACCGGTTGTCTGAACAAGGTTATATTTAAAATTTAACCTCACTAGTTGTTGGTTAATACTCTGATCAGGCTATGCCCTAGATTCTACACGACTCACTATGCCTGATTTTTAAATACATAGCACGGATGACTGGACCATGATGGTTTTCTTACATCTTTTATGAAAGCTGAGATCTGACAGCTAGAGGACATCGGCATCAGCAAAAACTATTCATCAATACCCTGCATTGTGGTTAAACCAAGAAGGTCTATGCAAACTCAACAAATTGATAAATACAGACCTTGATTTCAATATCCAGATGTTTTGTGAACTCAGAATATCCAGACCTGTCTGAAATAGCATATACAGCTTTTTCCTATTTTCATGAGGAAAGTAGTCATCTAAAAGACACTGTAAGAGAAATTGGTGTACACACTGATTGTGTGTGTGTTTTCTCATGAAATATTAGGGTAAAATGGAAAGCAAAGAAAATGTTTCATCTATTTGCTATAGATTTCAATACATAGTACACATTTAATAGCATTTTGAAGGAAACTCTCACTAAATGTAACACATAAATTTATTAATGGTTGCAGGACCCATGTGTTTCAAAACTAATAAATATGTTAAAGAGCCTTAAAGTTGTGGAAATGTGGTAATGTATGTAATTATGAATGCATTAGCATCATGGGGAATCTTACATATTCTATAAATTTTACAAACATAAAAGATACATGTAAGGCTACAGAAACCTTCTTCATTTTCCAAAAAAGTATAATAATCTGTCTGTATTTCTGAACTTCTAAAGAGAAAATTAAGGCAACATTCTGTTACTACAGTTTTATTATAAAAAAAATCCTCAGAATATTTACCTGACTTACATTTGTAAATCACTTCATAATATACTCACATAGAGAAAGTTAAGTAGTTACCATGTTAAAAGAAAGTGTCACTGTTTGGGTTTTGTATTACACTATATTCTAAAAGTGTTAATATTTGCAATAGGGAGAACAAGATACAATCTCAGGGATTCTATTAATCAAGTTTCTTTTTACTTGTATTGTTTTGCAGCCCCCTCGCCAGTCACCAACGTGAAGAAGGGGAAAATTGCCAAAAACAGCATCTCTCTGTCTTGGCAAGAGCCAGATCGCCCCAATGGAATCATCCTAGAATATGAAATCAAATATTTTGAAAAGGTGGGACTAATAGAATGAAAATTGTCCTTTCTTCCCTGTCTCTCATTTCAGCAGCTGCAATTACCCAATTTGTAGAAGAGTATGTTGCAGTTTCATGTGTGAATCGATGACAATTGATTCTCCGGGCACGACTATGGAGGCTACAAGTGTACAAGGAGTGCTCTGCACATGCTCTTCCACTGCAGATAGCTTTTGCTGCCTGTGTGCTGTGGTGTAGTCCAACACTGGCTTAACTAGATTTCCCAGCACTAAAAAGATGAAACCACAGGGCGTTTTGAAAGTATGCCTAACACTTAAGCTGCTGATCTTCAGTAGTGACAGCACGTGCTATGGGGAAAACCATACCTGCATCTAGCCAGTAAAAGGACATAAATCCCACTCTGTTCAGGAAGAACTGACCAAATAGGTGCACATCCAACACATGAGGGACCTACAGAAAGTTCATGGGACGTGCACCTTATGAAACAGTGCTCATAGATTTCAGAAAATCGTTGCATCAAAATAAAATTACCTTTTAATTCCATTTTTCTTAAAATTTTTGTTGGATTTATATTCATAAGACAGTTCATATTTAAAGTACATATTGAAAAAATTATTACTAGGATAAAAGAAAATTTAGTGGCATAGTAATGCCCTTCCATATTTTTTGTAAAGATCCATAAGACACATCTGACACTGTGTTATGCGTTACTTTTCATTTGGGAGATTCAAAATCAAATATGGGTGCCTCATATTCCCTATAGTTCCTTGCTATTCTCTTCTTCCCTGACTTGTCTCTTTTGTTCAACCTTCCCTGTTTTAACATATGGTAGTTGCAGCCTAAAGGGAATAATCATCCCCTTTCCTCTCTTTTATTCCACAGCCCTGTGAGCTATTGATAGAGTTATGCAAATGGATGCTAAAGATGGGGTTGGAACTTGCAGAGCTGACCTAGAGTGTGTGACTTAGAAATGGAGCCAACTGTGCCCCATTCCACTGTGATCTATATGCAGCCTGCATCTGAAATGTGCTCTGGAGAACAATCTGACAGTGCTCAAAGAGGCACAGTAGATGGATGCCCTTGCCAGCCTCTAGAAACCATTGTATCCCTCATTTCCCCTATACATGCAACCTTGGATATTTTCACTTCCACTATTCGACATATGCATGACTCTCATTCTGTGTATACTATTTAAGAAGAGCAAATATTTAAATGCTTTTAAGTTAGTACACTTTTTTTTTTATTTGACAGGTAGAGTTATAGACAGAGAGACAGAGACAGAGACAGAGAGAAAGGTCTTCCTTCTGTTGGATCACCCGCCAAATGGCCGCTATGGCCAGCCCTGCACTGATCCGAAGCCAGGAGCCAGGTGCTTCTTCCTGGTCTCCTCTGCGGGTGCAGGGGCCCAAGCACTTGGGTCATCTTCCACTGCCCTCCCGGGCCATAGCAGAGAGCTGGACTGGAAAAGGAGCAACCTGGACTAGAACCTGGCACCCATATGGGATGCTGGCATCACAGGCGGAGGATTAACCAAGTGAGCCACGGCGCTGGCCCCAAGTTGGTACATTTTAATAGAGTTACTCAACAAACTGAGGGAGGAGATCATTTCCCTTAATATTTCTTCCAGTGAATTTTATCCATGTTGTGCAATTATTTTCTTTATCCATTAATTTTTTTGAATTAATTTATTTAAGTAGGGATTGTTTCTACTGAAGTTACATTTAATGCTGCAAAACTACAGCAGTTTGCAAAGCTCAGTAAGCAACGATGATTTCGAAAAAGAAACCAAGATTTCCATATATATATATATCACCTGTGATATGTTTAAAAAGAGCAAAATCTTTATATAATAGATAATTATTAACTCCACTTAATCACTGTTTGCTTTTTTACATGAAGATGCTAATTCCCAGACCTTTTTGTCAAACCTGGTTATTGAACACACTGTATGAATAAAATACATGTACGTATCTTTTAAGACTTTCAAGAAAGAAAAAAAAAAAATGGGACCATGGGGTTTTCATACCGTGAATTGAGATGACAGGTCTGGATGGATCTCTGGAGCTCATTTTGAACCTGCAGACACCACTTGTTTTAGTGGATGGCTTTTGGCCAGACACAGGTGGCAGAGTTTTCCAGGGCACATGCGCTTGCCAGCTGGCGTTCCTGCCTTGCACTGCTCGCCTCTAATGGAGGTCACTGGGCTTCTCTGCTCTGGCGTGGTGATGGGCCCCTTGCCATCTCTTAATTAAAGGCAGAGGAAGAGGGAAGCTGCCCCTTGGCAGAGTGTTTGCCAGCTGGCTGGGGCTGCGGAGGCCCGCCCCTCCCCGCGTGGGAACAGTGTTTGCAGAGCAGCTGGGGAATGCAGCTCATTTGCTCAGCTGGGGCACAAAGCTGCAAAAGCCACTGCCCTGAGCCAGGAATTGGCATCCAGGTGGTTGTGGGTGTTGACGACATGTATAGAGGGTTTGTAATGGGAAAAAAAAATTTAACAGGTGAGTAGGTTAAAGGACAGGAACAGAAGTAAATTCTGGAACACACTTAGATCACCCACAAAATCAATTCATTCATTTTCATCCCTTACGTAGATGCTTGGCTAAATTCTCTTCTCTAGTACAGTATTCAGCTAACTCAGAGATGAAATGTACAATTAGATTCTAACTAACATATATATATATATAACATTGATATACAATTAGATTCTAACATATATATAACATTAATTAATGTTATAATATATAACATTATATATATAACTCTAGTATATAACTTTAATTGTTAGAGTGTTGTCTAATATTTGCAGTTGGTACTTAATCATACACTATTACAAGGAGTGCCATAACTGGTTTCTTTGTAATGTTTTTCACCTATTCACAGAAGTATCAGTTTCAATACATTCTACAGAATATATTCATTATATGTTTAATGGTTAATGTTTATAGCCATACCAATTTTTATACATTGTCTTGATTTTTACTTTTCTCTTTTTTAAAAAAAAAAGATTTGTTTATTTAAAAAGCAGAGAGAGAAAAAAAAGAGAGAGATCTTCATCCACTGGTTCACTCCCCCAAATGGCCACAACAGCCATGGCTGAGCCAGGCTTGAGCCAGGCTTAAATACTTTCCAGTTTTCCCATGTAGGTGGCAAAGGCCCTAGGATTTGGGCCATCATCCAGTACTTTCCCAGGCTCATTAAGCTGAGAACTGGATGAGAAGTTGAGCAGCTGGGTCTCAAAGATGAGATGCCAGCATGGAAGACAGTAGTTTAACCTGCTGAGCCACAACACTGGCCCCTGATTTTTACTTTTCAGTGGAAGATTTTACCAGCATGCTGTGGAGTTAAGAATAATCAAATTCCACAAGAACTGACTACATTGTACAGGCTGTGCTTTGAGCTACATCTGTGAACTGTATTTTATTCTCCCGCAGAAACTCTTGATCGATAATCTCCATTTCACAGAGGCATAAACTGAGGTTCAGAATTCTGTACTCACATCTCTCTTGACACCTACTTAGTTAATGATGTGTCTGGAATTCTAATGCTGTTATTCCTTTTAAAACTGTTATTTATTTTTAAAAAAACCTTCTTGTTTTACATTGTAAATGTTACTATTTTGTTAAAATCATTATGATATAAAATATGTCAGAATCATATTTTAGTTTTGAGCAAATTTTTAACCACGTTAAATCTCTCTAAATAAATGAGAATAGTATCAGCAGACATTTAATCATTTCTTACTGAAAATATTTCTGCAACATAGCTGAACTGATAATTATATTATTGAGCAATAATATTTATTCTAATATTGAGAAGTAATAAACCTTATCATCAGGTTTATTCATTAATAAACCTGAGCTTTGCCAGGACTCTCCATATGTTATAGAAGCTTCTTACAAGTTTTAGAAGAAATACATCAAGAAATTATCTGGGGGGCCTGCGCTATGGCGTAGTGGGTAGAGCCACCACCTACAGTGCCAGCATCCCATATGGGCTTCGGTTCGAATCCAAGCTGCTCCACTTCTGATCCAGCTCTATGCAATGGCTTGGGAAAGCAGTAGAAGATGGCCCAAGTGCTTGGGCCCCTGCACCCATGTAGGAGACACAGAGGAGGCTCCTTGCTCCTGGCTTCTGTTTGGCACAGCTCTGGTCGTTGGACCTTTTTGGGGATGAACCAGCAGATGGAAGACCTCTCTCTCTCTCTCTCCCCCTCCCTCCCTCCCTCCCTCCCTCTGCCTCTCTGTAACTCTGTCTTTTAAATAAATAAATAAATATTTTTTTTTTTTTTTAAGAAATTGGCTTTTTACTGCTGTATATAGAAGACATAATAGACAGTAGAAGATCAATGCATGGAGTGAATGAAGAAACTAGCTGATGTACTAAAGTTTTGTAGGTCTTAATTACCTTCTTAAAGTCTTTCTAATAATAAATTAATCTGCCCATTGAAACCTAAAGTTCAATCATTTGCCTCGAATGAGTGAGAAACACATATTTGGTTTTGAAATTAAAGCATATTTATTTAGAGAGAAATTTGGATATACTTATCTCTAAGAAATAATTTCCTACGTTAGAACACTAAAAGAGGAATGATATGAGTATTTTAAAAGAAGAATACAGGCTATTTATTTTAAATGGGATTAGTGGTATTATTGAAAGTGATTAGAAATCAGCATTTATTAGTCAGATTTGAGTTGAGAAAACAATTAAAAATAACGGAAATGAAAACGTATATTTCAGTTTATAAATTGTTTTCTTGTGCATGACATGTTTCATTATAATAACATCTCTGTAAATAAATGCAAGCAAGAGTTTCTACCCCAATATCACAGTCAAGGGCACTGGGGAGAGCAGTAATAGTGCAACTGCTTTATTCTAGCATGGGCTTTCAGTGGCAACACTAAAATCAGGTGGTAACCTCAGAGGGGTTATGGATGGTTACTTTATAGTTAGCTGTCAAAATAGAAGCCAGTCATTTTTTTTTCCTACTCCGTCACTTCTTTCTTTGCCATCTCCCCCCTCCATAGGGAATATTTTTTAAAGAAAAGAAAATTCCAGGTTATTTGTATTTTTCCATTAATGATCCTTTTTAAAGTTTAATGAATTAACGTTCTCCAGTGAGGTGCTGATTTCTGCTCCCAAGCCTTAACTGCAGTTATGAAGTTCATTCACCAAAGACGTAAAGCATGAAGTCACACATAACAGCGTGTGAGACACTGTCATCTTTCTCTGGACTGACATCGCAATTGATATGCTCTAATACAACATTTCAGAGGAAAACAGGCACAGCAAAAACATCATGGAAACCTCTGTAAACTAATTGATCTGCAACACAGTGTTTACAGTTTTACAGGTCTATTTTTGCCAAAGGCAAGGATGGTAGATGGGTGGCGGGCATGTCACTACCACTTTAGGTTCTAGAAAATACTTCAGGATTTTTCTGGAAGTAGCACACCTAGGACACACAGGGCTTTTTCTCCTAAGACATGATGTTTGTACTAATAGACAGTTCATTGGTTTCTGGTTCACTTTGTGATCTGTGAGTCTAAGTTTTGCTGCCATGAGAAACTCATATTCTTTTTTTTTATATCTTTGTGTAATCCAGGACCAAGAGACCAGCTACACAATTATCAAATCTAAAGAGACAACCATTACCGCAGAGGGCCTGAAACCAGCGTCAGTCTATGTCTTCCAAATTCGAGCACGTACAGCAGCAGGCTATGGGGTCTTCAGTCGAAGATTCGAGTTTGAAACCATCCCAGTGTGTAAGTCATTTTAATTACTGTCAACTCATGTCTCTGTAATGGTTACCAGAAAAGAGTCAGTGGATCAATACCCTCCCTGGGCCCTCTGTCAGTCTCACTGTCCTTCTCTGTCTCCCAGGCATGACCCCCTCAGGTAGGAAGCGTTGTGTCATGCTATTATGGTAGGTCTGCAGGTTAACACTCCTGCTCATCCTCATCGCCTTTATCTGCTGGGAGATGGTGCATCAGGAAATCCTTCAAAATGCTTCAACCTCACTTTTAAAGGCTTTCTTCCCATGGCTGCCACACTTTATTGAATTATTGCCATTTACTTTTTTGCTTTATTGAGCGAAGTTACTAGGTTTACTCTTTCCAGGAAAATTCCACAGAGAACGAACTCCAGTATTGAGTTTGGTAAGAAAATGGTGCTCTGGGGCTGCTCTGATTTCTTAAAAACTTTTAAATATCTCATAGTATTTTTCAGTGGAGAATCTGAAAATGTTCTGAATATGCTTTTGGTACTCTTTTGCTCCCCCCCCCAAACAAATGTCATTAAAATCTTTTCCTCTTTAAGTTCAACAAAATGTTGACATTATTTACTTGTTCTTAAAGAAAATATATTGAAAGTAGGATTAGAAAAAGAGTTCAATAACTTGACTTGTTAATAGATGAAAGAACAGACACTATTAAAATATTATTATAAAAGAATACCATACAAGAGTACTGTGAAATGTTAAATGTGTATGTACATGGGGCTGGCACTATGGCGTAGCAGGTAAAGCCACCACCTGCAGTGCAGGCTGCCAATATTGGCGCTGGTTCAAGACCTGGCTTCCCCATTTCTGATCCAGCTCTCAAGTCCTCAGGCCCCTGCACCAGCATGGGAGGCCCAGAGGAAGCGCCTGGTTCCTGCCTTCAGACTGGCACAGCTCTGGCTGTTGGGGCCACCTGGGAAGTGAACCAGTGGATGGAAGACTCTTCTCTCTTTCTCTCTCTCTCTCTCTCTCTCTCTCTCTCTCTGGCTCTGCTTCTCTGTAATTCTGCCTTTCAAATAGATATGTAAACCTTAAAAAAACATAAATGTGTATATGTACACTTTGTAAAGCCTATTTTTATAAAATTAGTGATGTTAAAATAAAGAAAATAACATGCCCATTTTTTAAAAATCAACAAAATGAAACCCTAGTTGTTGAATTAATTTTGCAAGTATTAGAAGAATTATTAAAATTTTAGTGAATCTATGGAAAATGACTCTAGAAAATTCAAGATATGCTATAGGAAGCATGTTGAATAGAATTACAAAATAATTTTTTGAAGATTTATCAGTTTATTTTGAAAATCAGTTATATGCAGAGAGAGGGAGAAAGATATCTTCCATCCTAGTTCTCTCCCAAAATTCCTGCAATGGTCAGAGCTGGGCTAAGCCAAATCCAGGATCCAGAAGCTTCTAGGTCTCCCACGAAGGTGCAGGGGCTTAACCTCTTGGGCCATCTTTGTCTGCTTTTTAAGGCTGGTACCAGGGAACTAAATCAGAAGTGGCACAGCCAGGACTCGAGTGTGTATCCGTTTGGGATCCTAGCACTGCAGGCAGTGGCTGAACCCACTATGCCACAATGCCAGCCCCAGAAAATATTTTTCATTACTTAAACGGTAAAAAGGTAGTTTCCTATGTGACACCCCACTGAATCTTATATAGGTAAGTGTGCCATTGAGAAAAATGGTAGAAATTTTCTTGCAAATCAAAGGAAAATTCCATAGCTGAGATCTAATTGGAGGAAATAAAATTTGAATCACTAATGGTGTTTAGAAAATTTTCTTCATAGATTTGATAATAATAAATAAGGTTAATTAGAAAAGTCCCATAATTTTGGTGATGAATTAGTTATTTGGTTTCACACCTTGAACCCAAAATGGATTAATGACAAAAGATGTGTAATGTAAGCTGACCATTCTAATAGCTCTTGGTGCTATTTAGGACATTAGTAATATGTACTTCTTGTGCGACCTGCCAACTCTGGGAACAAAGCCATATTTAATATCTCAAAATATGCCTGAGGTCTTTATAGCTATGCAAATGAAAAATGCCATTTTAAAAACTATTGCAAAATTCTACTCGCTTTTAGGATATTGACATGTTCAGCAACTATTTTTCCTGCAGACTTTTCAACATCCATCTGATACTTTATTAAATAGCAGTTTCTAGGCATGCCAAAATTCATCAGAGTACTGAGAGAACTAATATGCACTTATTTTCTTTTACAATTTTACAACGTCTCACTTGAGACTTGCTGCTTTAAAATTTTTCCTACATAATTTCTAGAGGAAATGTAAAAGCAGGAAAATATTTTTTCAAAAATAAATTTTGTGTTATTAGCAACAGGTAATGAAAATATTTTAGGGTTCTACTGCCTCCTAGCTGTTGGTAGATCTTATTTTTACTTGAGTATGTGTGCAAGTGTTTGCAAGCACTTGGGAGCATTATACGCACTAGTCTTGATCTGGATGTAGAATGCTTTGTGGACATATTCAGCAGGAGTATGTTGAGTGTGTAGTATCTATGAGGCTTTGGAGAAATCATGAGAATCAGATGCACACATCTATGCAGACAGTGAGTTTATCATGCATTTAGTGCTGAAGAATGAAATACTTATTACAAATACCACTTTATAATAATCGTTTTTGATTGTTTAAAGACATTTGGTTTTTACCATCAGTCTATCAGAAGGCCTTTCACCATGGGTACTGTGAGTGACTCAAAAAGTTGTAGGATGCATTCCCTTCTTTCTCAAGACAGATCGTCTCACAGGGAGTAAAAGCTGAGGTGCAATGATGATTCAAATTAGACTTCATTCTGAAGGGATGTAGCATTTGTGTGAGAAGCCTTTCACTTGACTATTGTTGTGCAGGCTTTTGTGAAATAATATTAATTATTTTATATGGCAATTTCTTGGTAATATAATTAATTATTTACTTGCATATATTATTTCCCCAGCAAGGTCTCATAGTGTTTGAATGCAAGAATTATGCTGTCATAGAAGTATTTTTATTTTCCCCTAAAGTGATCAGTGCTTTTTCTCCCAGTGGTGACAGTTAAGCATACTCTCCTTAATGAGTCACACTACTAAGACAAGTAAATTGTATCACTCAGGGATGTATGTGGACAAAAATATTATGGGAAAGCTAGCTTAAACACACTTTTAAAAGAATTTTCTAATAGATTACTCCATTCCTAAAATGATATGTAATAATTCATAGATTCATTATTGATTTGCTTAATTAAAATTATTTATTAATTTACATTATGCTTTGGTCATTTATTTAAAAGAAAGTAAAATGATTACAGGAACTTTCTTTTCCGATCTACATTATGTTGTAAGTAAAAAATAGAGCCCTCAAACTAAATGGAAATATTAGTAAAAGTAGGAATGTAATAATATTTATTTGCAAAAGACTATTTAATATGAGGGTTAAGATGTAAAATCTCCAGCCTTCTTCCCCCCCCCCCAAGCTTTGACTATTATCTTCTTCATTTTAACTTTATCATGCATAAAAATCATGCATTTAAACCTTATCAGCAGGTGTTAGCTAGCAGTTCAGGTGCTGGTTGGAATATGCATTTTCCGTATCTGTGTGCCTGAGTTCAGTATTTGCCTCTGCTTTTGAATCCAGCTTCCTGCTCTTGCAGATCCTGGGAGGTAGCAATGATGACTCAAGTGACTGAGTCCCTGGCTTTGGATTCAGCTTTATAGGCATTTGGAGAGAGAAACCAGCAGGTGGTGGTATCTCTCCCTCTCTCTCTCTCTCTCTCTCTCTCTCTCTCTCTCTCGGCCCCTCCCCCCCTTGTTCCTCTACCTCTTAAATAAATATTTTTTTTTTCAATTGATTCCATGTATTTAGCTTGTTCTCAAAGACTGACTATCAGCATACCAACAAATCAACGTATTGTGAAGGAAACCATTCTACTTACTCTTTCTTACTTCTTTTAACCTAACTTGTCTTGAAACTTCAAGATTGTCATTGAATCTGTCTTAAATCCTATTTGGCCTAAATTCAGTAATCACTTTTATTTTCTTCAGATTTTTAAATGCATCACTTTCTTTTATCCAACTCTTACCTATTCTCAAGGCTGTATTAAAAACTTATAGAATAGATTCAGCGCCACGAATCACTAGGCTAATCTTACGCCTGTGGTGCCGGCACCCCGGGTTCTGGTCCCGGTTGTGATGTCGGATTCTGTCCCAGTTGTTCCTCTTCCAGTCCAGCTCTCTGCTGTGGCCTGGGAAGGCAGTGGAGGATGGCCCAAGTGCTTGGGCCCTGCACCTGCATGGGAGACCAGGAGGAAGCACCTGGCTCCTGGCTTTGGATCAGCACAGTGCTCTGGACATAGCAGCCATTTGAGGGGTGAACCAACAGAAGGAAGACCTTTCGCTCTGTCTCTCACTCTCTCACTGTCTGACTCTGTCAAAAAAAAAAAAAAAAACTTATAGAATAATGCTATTATGGTCTTTAATTTGAATTTTATTGAGATACTTTAAATTCATATGCAATTGTTTTCAATAATACAGAAAAGTCTAGTATAAATTTCTGTTTTCCCAAATGGTAACATATTGTTAAACTAAAATATAATATCACCGCCAAGATATTTATATTTAAACAACCCACAGATTTAAGTCCTATTATCTGATGCTCCTTTGTATGGGTGTGTTTGGACATTGTGTGACAGGTTGATCACTTGTTTGGGTTGAGGTAGGTATGAAAATATCAAATAGTGTAAACATCATAAAGATCCCAAGTGTTGCCTTTAAAACCATACACACTACCTTTAGGAACAACACCTATTCCATCACTAATCTCCTGGAAACCACTCATCTGTCCTTCATTTTGATATTTCAAAAATGTTTCATTAGTGGAATTATTCAGGAGTTGACCTATGGTTTGAATTGGCTTTTGTTCCTCCTCAACATGATTTCCCAGAGATTGATTCATGTTGTTGGGGGCATCCTGTTTGCTTATTTTTGATA